AGAAAGGTCAACCACCCCTAACCCGCCATCAGCTTTAGAGGCTTTGCACAAGTTCCAGCCAACCAAGGGAGTTCTGTTGCCCCCACTCGCCCCATTCCAGATGAAACTCCTCTGGATCTTTTCCATACTAGCAATGACACCTCTCGGGGCCTTGAACAGAGAAAAGTTGTAGCCTGCAAGGCTCGAAAGCACTGATTTGTTCAGAATGATCCTGCCTCCAGCAGATAAGTACTTGCTTTTCCACCCATCCAACTTGCTCTTAAATTTCCCGATAACAGGCTCCCAGATAGCCGAAGAGTTAGGTCTGGCCCCAAGGGGGAATCCGAGGTATTTTTGCGGTTCCTTGCTCCATTTGCAACCGAAGATGTTGGCGAAGAATTCCGGTTCCGGGACATCCCCAACAATAAACATCATGGACTTATCAAGATTGATGCTCAACCCTGTGACAGACTGAAAACACACTAAGGTTGCCAAAATCGTTAACACTTGGTCAGAATTGGCGTCGCAGAAGATCAGCGTGTCATCAGCGAAAAGGAGATGAGAGACTTCCCCCCTCTTCTGGTCCTCGTCCATGAAGAAACCTTCAAACAAGCCTTCATCGTGAACTTTGCTCAGCATAAAAGAGAGCACATCCATCACCAGGACGAAAAGACCAGGGGAAAGAGGGTCGCCTTGGCGGAGCCCTTTAAAGGCCGGGAAATAACCATGAGCTTCCCCATTGACAAGGATAGATAGCATAGGCGAGCACATGGTACCTTTAACCCAGTTCGAGACCTGCGGCGGGAAACCCAACACATCCAGAATGTGAAACAAACAGCCCCAGTTAACATTATCGAAAGCCTTCTCAATATCAAGCTTGAACATGAGCCCTGGTTTCTTGCTTCTTCGCCTGCTATCCACCAGTTCGTTAGCAATAAGACCTGCCTCAGCAATCTGCCTACCTTTAATGGAGGCATGTTGGTATTTAGAGACCAGTTTGGGGAGAACAAAGCTGAACCGCCGAGACAAAACTTTGCTGATGAGCTTATTAATACTCCCCATAAGACTTATAGGCCTTAGATCCCTCACTGTCTCGAAAGAGTCTTTTTTTGGAACGAGGCAGATGAAGGAGTGGGAAGTGCAGGCTGGAATGTGACCATTAGCGAAGAACTCGTTGAAGGCGTTGACTATCTCCGCACGCAACCAGCCCCAGCATTTCTTAAAGAAATCAAGAGTAAACCCGTCCGGACCCGGAGCTTTGGACCCATCACAATCCAAAAGCCCTTCCCAAATTTCTTTCTCAGTAAAGGGATTGCTCAAAACCTTTCGATCGCCGTCGTCAAGGGAAACAGAGTAGTAGCAGCTCGGAAAAGGGCGAAAAGGGGTGTGTTCCAGGAAAAGCTCTTTGTAGTAAGTAGCAATCCCTTCAGCCACGACATCCTTGCCTTCCAAGGTAACATCATTGATTCTTATGCGGTCAATGCACTGCAACTTTCTCTTGTAATTCGCCATTTTATGAAAGAAACCCGAGTTGCTGTCTCCTTTATTCAACCAGAGTTCTCTCGACTTTTGACGCCAGCAGATTTCTTGCATATTGAGCGCCCTCCCAAGCATAGTTACATGATCAGCTCTCCTAACCTTCTCGTCTTCAGAGAGAACACGGGCCTCTTCTTGCAAATCAAGCTCCTTGATTTTCCCCAGAAGATCATCGACCTTGCGGTGAATATTTCCAAATACCTCCTTGTTCCAAACTTTAATATTTTGTTTATGATGACATGGGTATGTGGTGATATGAAGGAAGTTGTCTGAGTTTTTCGTTGGATTGTTTCACTGCCACAAAAAATTGATAGCCTAGGACCAGAGATATGCGCTGCGATGTAGAGTAACGATGACCAGTTCTAAGTAGTTTCGAGTGAATCATTGTAGAGGAGGCATTTTGAGGAGTTTTGTTTCGCCGTTTTTGCAGGTGAAAATAGACTTCGAATTTTGTATAGACCAATCATACACTCTTGCTTTGAATCAACTCTTAACATTCAAAAGTCACGAGAATTCAAAAACTGGACCTCTCGATTTCCGGACTATTATACCATTTTTCCTTTAACAAGCAAATACTCTTAAATGCATTTAAGCATATGTCAAACACCCCTCTTGAATTAACTTGAAAAGGAAACTTTACATTGTCTCGTTGCTTGTTCCCCAATCCTCCCTCTCTCTCTCTCGCTTCTTAATTACCGTTTCGCGGCAAGGCAGGGATTTGATGATAATTATTGCGGAAGTTGACCTCCGCTCCCTCGCAACCGCGGCCGCAACGCCAACTCCTTACGCCACCGCTCGATGGATCTGTAACGCGGTGCGCGCGGAGGATGCGGCCGTCGACGCCGTTCCTTCATCCACTTGTACCTTCGCGCCCACGCTTCATCTTCTCTCTCTGTCTTATTACAATAATAAACCCATCATTCAATATCCCCATATCGTCCAATCAATTTGGGCCAATCGTATTCTTTCCTTTCATTAATATGTGGCTTCCTTCTTATTCCAACCCCAATCGAATTTAATTCTATAGTATTTAAACATTATCCCCCATTACTATAACTAATTTTTTTTTCTTTTTCTTAGAAGTCAAACAATGTATAATACAATCACCTCATCATAACTGCCATACATTACATATGTCAACAACGCCACGTTCCCTGTGGTGACGGATATACTCTTTCTCGCAGGGCAGATACCATAGCAATCCGAGTAACCAGACGCGGCAGTTACAGAAGGACGTTTCGAACCAGTATTAAATGGGCATATACAATTTTAACATCGATTGAATTGTACAAAACTCTTGATGCTACAATATTTTCGGAATCACTTACATACTGTTCAAGCGATCTGCCAATTATTGGTAGGGGTGGCAGTTTCGTATTCGGTTTTTTGGGTTTAAATCATAGTACCCGAACCAATTTATAGACTAGTCGGTTTTCCTTAATGGGTAGAAACCGAACTGATTTTTTTGGCTTATTGGGTTTCTCTTAATGGGTAAAATCCGATAAACTCTTAATGAATTCGGTTAAAAAATCGAAAACCGTTCATAAAACGATAAGCCTTAGTGCAATCAAAGGTTGGTTGTCGGGTTTTCAGTGTATTCTGACCGAACTTAGCAAAGTGCTTAATGATTTTTGGTTAACGGAACCGCCAAACCCTATTTACTGGCTACGTAAACTAAAATGCAGCTGGAGTTAACACTTCCCCAATAGAGAAGAGAATATCAGAGGTAAAAGCCAAATAAGCCAAGCAGCGGCGGATCCAGGACACAGCGTAGCACTGGGCCGCATTTCATTAGAAAATTAGATATCATTAAAAAAATCACAGTTTTTTTTACAATATCAATTGTACACGTAAATCTTTTAAATTTTAATATAGTGAATTCATCAATAATAGAGTTTACATCCACATCAATAGCATACTCTCTTTAATATAAAATAGTTTACCAATTGGAGAGAAATTCATCGTTCATTTTGTTGCGCAAATGTCAACACAATCGACTAATCAATTCCTATTTTCAACAGCTGCTCAAGTAATTTTTTAAGAGAATAAACCTCATATTTCTTTTAGTCTTTTACGTTTTAGAATTTTAGGTTTCATTGTTTGCTTTTCTTTATATGAGAATTATTGGAGCTAGAATTTTCATGCTAAATTTAGAGTTGTGATTTGAATATGTTCATCTTACCCATTTTCCTAATTACACACAATTTTATCATAAAATAACACTGGACTAAATAGTTAAATCGATAAACTCATAAGGGATACACTAGTTCTGGATCCAGGGGAGGGCTGGGCCGGGGCCGGGGTGGCCACCCCTGGATCCGCCACTGAAGCCAAGTCAAGGTGCACATGTACAAATTAGCTTTAAACTAGCGAGTTGACAAGAAGCAACAAGCTAAGCCACCCGTGTAACTAAACAACAAGAAGCCGTGACACTCAAGTAATTATGGGGGAGGAAAGAAGAGCTCACCTAAGCTACGGTAAGCTATAGTTAGCCTCTGTTTTAGGCAGCCGACTTATTGTTACTTCACACCATCACCACACCAAAACTTTCATCCAAGGGAAAACTCCCCCCGCTAATCCAACCCTAGCTAGGGTTTTCCTCCCTTTCTTTCCCCTTTGGGTAACCCGGTTTCCGCTTTTATGCCATTCAATCATTTTGAGCTTGCTTTGATGACTTCCTATACACTTCAGCCCAAAACCATCATCGTAATCCGAAAACCTCATCCTCCATCTCTGCGTCCAGAAAACTAATTAATTTCGATAACTTGAATTGTTGAGAAATGATTATCAAGTATGAATATCAGACCACTTTATACATGGTGTCAGTGATAAACGAGTCATCGACATCCGGTATAAATTAAAGTAATGCTTTTGTACGTATAACATGTTTAATATGAGATAATTGCATTAGATATTAAACATGTTATATATATAATCAGAAAAATTAGACGAAACTATAATAATACGAGAATGAAATTAAAAAAAAAAAGAATTCAAAATGCATAATGATATTATACGAGTATTAAACGAAATTTTACGAAAGGAGAAACTCCTGTGCATATATTTCGTTGCTCTTTGGTTAGCTGATAAAACTCCATCCTGTAACAAACATTCTCTGTGAGATTTCCTATTCATCGTAAAGAAAAGAGTGTAGAAATTTTCGATAACTATAGTCCATATATATAGTTAGTTAAGGTCATGAAATCTAATTTAAAAAAAAAAAAAAAAAATTGGAAGAAGATTCGGATATCTCATGTTTGAATAAAACTAGCGCGGGGCCCACACTCCTCCAGAAGCGCCTTTAGTGTGACGACATCTATACAACATACAAAAGAGTACTCCCTACGCATTTCGCTCTCTTCTTCTCATCAATCCCCAAGAATTCCCCAATCTCCTTCTTCCTCTATATATACCAATCTCTCCCCTTCCTTCCATTTCAGCTGCTTCTTCTTCTTCTTTCTCTAATTCTCTCTATTCTCATTTCCATGGCGGCAGAAGAGTTCCAGGAGTCCGACGTGTTCTTCTCCGGCGACCACCGGGAAGTCGCAGATCTGCACCACAATCACCATCATCATCGTCATCGGCGGCAGCGGTCGAGGAACAACAAGAAGCAGAAGAAATCAGGCGGCGGCGGTGATAGTAGTACTCGTGCTGCTGCTGCTCCGTCGGTGCCGGTAGACATCCCGACGAACGTGTTCCGGTTCGGAGATTCCGATGAATACGAGGAGGACGAGGAGGAGGAGGAAGGATCGATTATCCCGCCACACGTAATCCTGGCTCGGAGGGTGGCCGGAAAAATGGCGTTCTCGGTGTGCACGGGGAACGGGCGGACGTTGAAGGGGAGAGATTTGAGCCAGGTCAGGAACTCCATTCTTCGGATGACTGGCTTTCTCGAAACTTAAAAAACTCCTTGATTGGAAGAAGATGGGAGGATGTTGGACCACTTCGCCGGCACGGCCCGGCCCAGCCTAAATTCTGGGCTGATGTTTTTCTTTGTAGGTGATTGTTGGCCCAAATCTCACTCTCGGCGTGAAACTGTGGACTGGTAATTAGAACTATTCAATACCCAGGGGGGAAAAGGGGAAATTATTATGAACAATATTCAGATTGCCAGGCTGTTTATTGGAATATATTGTTCGTGGTGTTTGTCAAAAAATGACAAACCAAGAGTGATTTTTAAAAGCAGAAATAGATGATTATTGTTGTTGGTGGTAATTATTTTGTTTATTTATTGTAAGTGAAGAAAGGTTGCGTATAAATAATCCAGCAGTTGTGATGTAAAGAAAATTTAAAAGGTGCACAGTGCGCCACCGCTGCTAGTTACTGGGAGCTCGGATTATTTTGTCGTCATTTTTCATGCGTTTATGTATATAACTTAACTATATAATATATACATTAAATTAATAAAATAGTAAAGAAGAAAAATAATCGTCAGGCCGACGTCATAAAAAAGGAGGAGCTACTAGCTAGTAAGCGGCCGGCCCGGCAGCCCATTTATGCCACACGGATGGACCAAAAAAAAATGAATTTGCGTTTTGGATAAGTTTTGGCGAGCTCAATCTGGCTGGGCCTCCATCAAGCAAGGGCCCATCTATTTAACTTGTTCAATATCAGCACGTGATAATTTATAATTTTCTTCGATTTTTATGACACAACATCCTCCTTTTGTTCTTTATATCGATGATGAGAAACATGTCTATCTCAGTCTCTACTTACAAATAAATTAACCATCCATCACTATGTTTGAATATGTGGAGAAGACTAGACATAATTGGTGTTGGTTGTTTATAGCCTAAACTTGTAGTGTCATATTCCATCATTATGAAAGGAGACTTTGAGTTTACTATATAATTGCATCCAAAAGCAAAATCGTACCGAGTTAATAATGTGGTTCGTTTCGATCCGCCTAGTGTTTACTATGACACGAGATGATTAGTTAGCCTAACGACAGTTCATAACCAACCAATACGGGGACTCCGCGACATGACATAAATACAAGATATTAGCAGCAAATATTTTTCTCTGTCCAACATTTTTCGTTGCCAAACATATGACAATATAATAATATGATTGTCAATGAGGAGAATACAGGACGAGTTTGCTTGACTACTCTGTAAGGGGTCGGAAAAATGACACCCCCTATTAATTATAGTTATTTTGGGTATTAAATATGTGTTGCGTTTAATAATTTTTGAGAATTAAAAATTTATATTAATTACATTCTTTTTTTCTCAACTATCATTACTCGGATACAACTACCATTGCACTTATACACCAATACCATTGCACTGATACAACTATCATTGCACTTATACAACTACCATTACACTGAAAAAAGAAAGTAATTAATATGGATTTTTAATTACCACAGATTATTAAATGCAACACAAATTTATTATGTTAAAAACCTATAATTAATACGGGGTGTCATTTTTTCAACCTTTTAGAAGTAGTCATGCTATCTCATTCCAAGAGAACACCCATTTGAGCCATACCTATATATAGAAAAAAATGATTAAGCAATTTAATTAAACTAAAGTTAGTTATATAACATGTTGAATTATGTGTTATATATAACAAATCGTTATATAATTACGTCAGGACAGGGATGGGCATTAATAAACCTCGAGTAGGATCCGGAGAAAGCTAGTTCGTTAATGTAGAAAACAAAATGGGTAGCTTCTTCTTGGTGGGCAACTTGCTCAAGTCTTTCTCCACGTCTTCTTACCCTCTTCTTCTCGTCGGCCAACTCTTGACGGGCTTTGGCGTCGGCTTCGCGCTCACCATCGCGCCGCTCTACATCGCCGAGATGTCTCCCGCTCCGACTCGAGGTCTACTAACCTCCGCTCCTAAAGTATATATATATATGTTTTCATCTTATATTCTTATCGTATTATTTGTATATGTAGTTTCATCCTAGACGTTGGGTTCATTAATGTACACAGGTGTAGCTCAACATGAGAATTGTCTTCGGCTACCAATCCTATTCCATGTTCTCACGGTCCCTGTCGTGGTCGGACAGAGAGTGACGTTCTTGATAGTCATTTTTTCTTCTGTTTTACTGACATCCTGCATGTGTCTGGTGTCAGAGTCCCCGTATTGGCTGTTCATGAACCGTTCGACGCAGGTCAACGAAGCCATATATATTATTTTTGTCGGTCTAACTTATTATTTGTCTATATATTAACTTCTACAACTGATCTTTTGAGACAACAAATTATTTGCTTTCAATATGTCATTGTATCGACACATGTTTAATAATATTTTTTAATTGTTTATATCAAATAAGAAAAAATTTAGTTATTGAAGCAATTATCCTGTTTGCTTCTATATACATAACTTCGACAATATATATATTATTTTTGTCGGTCTATCTTATTATTTGTCTATATATTAACTTTCGCAACTAATCTTTTGAGACAATAAATTATTTGCTTTCAATATCATTGTATATGCATCTGTTTAATAATATTTTTTAATTGTTTATATCAAATAAGAAAAAATTAGTTATTGAAGCAATTATCATGTTTGCTTCTATATACATAACTGATTAACTATAAAATATTTACACACATAGTATCCTATATCATTTGAGCATTAGATGCAGATATAATTGTGTCGAATAACTTATCTACCAAAAAAATGTTGGATTTTTTTAATTAAAAGGAGAGATGCTTCATAATTTGACAACATATATTTCTTTTGAAAAAATAATTTGGTATAATTGCATGTATATTAAAGAAATTATTTTACAATATGTCAAATATATGCATAATGCGGGGCGGGTGTCTCGAGCCTCGTGCGGGGGAAAGACATGTAAGGGGGCTGGAGGTAGTAGGTGGAAATTGGGAACGGATTCCCGTCTCCCCTTACACACTTTCGCCCTATTCGCACGAGAGACGTTATTTTTAAAGCACATTTTCGAGCACCTGTTATTTTCAAAACATGATACAAGAGTCCATGACAGGCAGAGAGTCCACAGCACCACACAATTCAAGGGTCCTAAGATCACTAATTCACTCAATCAACCAACACAATATGAAGAAGAAATGAGACTTCTTAAATGCATCAACATCCTCCATAGTGCTACACTACCTCCCTAGGTTGTAAATCACTACAGAGACTGTCAATTCAAAGCATACTCAGCAGGCAATTGCAAGGAACACGTACTTGGAGCCCTCAAATTCAAAAATTTGGACAGTGGACTAGGCTCCAAGCACACAAACAGATCTAATGCAGTCAAAAGATAAACATCCCCCCACACTTAAGATCGACATTGCACTCAATGGAGAAGAGGGAAGGAAAGGGGAACGATGTTACCGGTGTGCACAGACTGCAGGAGACTGGAAATGGACCAGTCAGCATGAAACATACTGGAGAGAGGACCATTCGGGAATACAGGCACGGCTAAAGGAAACCCAAAGAGCTCAAACACAATACGTTAGATCCAATGGTCAGCCCAATATGATATCATCCAAAACAAAAGAAAACAAACCAAAGCCAAAGCTATTGGCAATCCGACCCAAAACAAACGAAATAAATGAAAACTGTGGTGGGGTTGCCTCCCCACAAGCGCTTCTTTACCGTCTTGTAGCTGGACGCCCATGGTGGATAATCAGAGTGGTGCAGGAACAGGTGCCTCCAAGAGCGGATCCACATCGCTCTTGAGGTACAACTTCAGGTGGTGACCGTGCACCCTACGGGTGCAACCACTAGCATTGGTCAGCTCGACCTGGCCATCCGGCAAGATGCAAGCAAGCGAGTACGCCGATGGCCAGGGTGGTCGTGGTGCAGGAGGTGGGACCAGCTCATAGTGGTCTCCACCTTTCTTCCGAGCACGCTTAGCCACCTGCGGCTTCGACCGCCACTCCTCCTTGTTCTTGTTGTTCGGAGGCGAGGCTGGATGGAGTGGCGGCGAAGGAGTGAGAGGGGGGTCCTGCAAAATGGGAGGTGCAGAAGGATACACGACAGGCTCGTGTATCCGGTCAGAAATAGCATGCACAGGTGTGACAGCAATCATAGCACAGTGATCGAATTCAGTCACAGAAAAGGTAGCTTGTTCATTTCCAGCACGCAGGATCAGTTTACCATCATGCACATCAATAAGTGCCTTGGCGGTGGCATGAAATGGTCTACCCAGAATCAAAGGCACATCCACATCATCATTTATGTCCAGGATAACAAAATCAACAGGATATGTGAATGCACCCACATTAACAAGCAAATCCTCTATGATACCCCTAGGATGCACAACGGAACGATCAGCTAGTTGAATGCTCATCCTAGTAGGGCTAAGTTCACCTAGGTCTAGCTGTTTGAACAATTTATATGGCATGACATTAATGCTAGCGCCTAGGTCCGCCAAGGACTTTCCTACATGCATGCTACCAATAGTAAGAGGGATAGTAAAACTTCCTGGGTCCTTGCGCTTTTCGGGCAGCTTGTTCTGCAGGACAGCAGAACACTCCTCGCTCAGCAGCACTGTCGAGAGATCCCCAAGTTTCTTCTTGTTGGCGAGGAGATCTTTCATGAACTTTGCGTACTTGGGCATCTTCGACAGTGCCTCCACAAATGGGACGCTGATGTTGAGCTGCTTCAACATTGCCATAAACTTGGCAAACTCAGTCTCCAGCTTATCTTTATGTAGGCGAGTGGGGAAGGGAAGCTGGGGCACATGCTCCTTAACCACTGGTTGTGGCTTGGGAGCAGAGGCTTCCTTTTCCACTCGCACTTTTGCATCATCAGCTGGAATTGCTGAAGCAGGTATAAGTTCCTCCTGCCTGGTCGGGGCAGGATCAGCGGATATGGTGGTGCTGCTTCTGGTAAAAATGGCATCCAACTGCTGGTGCGGCTCACGTGGATTGGGAACGGTGGTGGCAGGTAGAGTCCCCGGGGCCCGAGT